GCATCTTATACTTAACTAAAGAAAGAAAGGCAAAAAAAAGAAAGGAAAACATAACTCGCTTTAGCAGATCGTTTTCAGTGAATCAAATAAAAATTCTACAAAAAAAGTGACATAAAGGATTTCTAGATAAATCATAAATGTAGAAAAAGATAGCCATAAAACCACACAAAGGCGGGCAGGAAGTTTCAAAGTTCTTCAATAATAAACTAACAAGTTAATATCAGTCCGTCTTTCTTTGTTGTGTTTCTGTCGGCTATAAGTCATATAAACAGTTAATGATGATATAATTCTTCAAAGAGTGCTCACTTGCATTGAAAGTTAAATCAAAGATTTTTCAGATTTATCCTTAAACCAATTTGTCTCATTTTCGGTACCAGCATGCATACAAAAACTTCCAATGTCCCTGTCGATAAAGTCGATAATTTTATTGTCGCGGCCAGGAGATTATTTAGAACAGGCATCATCGATTACGTATTTGATGCTGATCAAGAATATATACATATGTTAAGTGATCTCTGAAATTTTTTGCTTGGCGTTGTAAAAGTTTTGACAAACTGAACATACCCCTCTTCTCTAGAAAAGATCTAAATAGCTTTTGCGTATAGCAAAATTCATGCATTCTTTAAGAAATCTAAGAATAATACTTTGATGTTTTTTAAATATAAATATAATTTGTTTAGCATATAATCCTATGTATGTATATATATATATATATATATATATATATAAACCATAAATAGAGGTTTAAAATAAGAATAGTTAAAGCGAAAATAGCCACGAAAAGCATATATAAAGCATATTATTATGAAATGAAAACTGAGACATCACTACCTATCCGTCGGTCCATCCTTCCTTTCCTTTAAAATCGTTTAAAAGACATACAATATCGTTGCAAAGATCTAACATTAATCTTAGTTTCGTTTAACATAAGCAATCTGACAAACCCACTTTAATCATTTCCAAAATATAATCTATATGTGTGTATAATATATGGACAAAGCATACAAAACAAAATCTTCAGATTGGATTAAAAAACAAACGCTTACAGTTGAAATTAGTTCTTACTTATATCATAAGGTCATAAAAAAAAAATTAAAATATTACTAGCTTTCTGTCGGTCCATCCTTCCTTCCCTTTAAAACGTGTTAAGAGGCGTAAAAATTCATTGCAGACATCTAATATTTATCGCAATTTCCTTATCATTTTCTTATAAATAAAAAACGAATTTTTCTTTTTAATTGGAAATATTTTCATAATTTAAAAACATGAATAACAATGAAATTTAATTTTTTCCTTCTGAACTTTTCTTTCTTTTTTTTTTATTTATTTGTTCTTTACTATTTTTCTATTTCTTATTTTTTTAATTTTTCTTTTTTATTTATTTATTTACTTCTTTTTTTCTTTCTCTATTATAATTAATATTTTTCACAATTGCATGCTTTGCATGAAAGAAAGAAAGAAAGCAAAAAAAAAAAAAAAGCAAGCATCTGACGGTTGGTTGATTCTTGTTGATTTGGCCAAGGATAATGATTGTCTTCTTTTGCATATAGACTTAATGCATCAACATTTTATATTGGATCGAAATAATGAAGATTAATATGACATTATTAATAATTTGCAGTCAGTGTACGAGAGATGTATTTTTTGCTTTCCTTTCTTTTTCCCTTTTCTTCTTTATTTTTTCGTCGTTTGCAATAAAAGTACGCAAATTTAAAAAGCATTAGCAATTTTTTTTTTTTTTTTATTTTTTTTCTTGTTTTTCAAGCTCTTAGTGGTATAACAAATATTTGCCATAATGGTATTGTTTCCCTCTCTTAACTTAGGCCCGTTTAGCTTTCTTTGGCAAATTATTAAATCCTTTTTGTATTATGATAACGATAATAATGACGATAATAATAATGATTATGATGATGATAGCAAGGAAATATATCTATCTACAAGTGTTTGTTACGCTGCTTTATAATATACTTTTTCTTTGTCTTTGCATTGTATCTGTTATATCTAAAGAATTTTTAATAAATCTCAAATGTGCAAAAAGTGTCTCTCTAGTCTTGTGTTGATTGTGCGACTAACTAACTGACTGGTTGCAGATAACTGAGTGACTGCAACTATGGTATTACACATACACATTTACACGCACACATTCAATCTGTCTTAAGGGGGTTTCTTAATACAGACCGTTAAACAAGCTTATGCAAGCAAAAGCAGTTCACTTTATCCTTCTGCCAACTGCCTACTGTCCGCCACCCTGGCTCTCTTTCTCTCTCTCTCTCCCTACCTCCCTGGATGCTAGTCAACTTGCTTGCCTGCTTGCTTAATTGTAACCTATACTTTCATCCATGCACATATATATATATATTAATATATAAGCTTTTTTCATATCCCTTTAGTGCATTGAAATAATATTTGCAGTATTCTTATAACCAAAGTATGCAGTATGGGATTTAATTAGCAAAAGCTTTAGGCAAAGATTAGCTTAACTTAGAAAATTGAAAATTAAGAAAATGAAAAATATTAATAATCTTTGCATTTATCTCCTATGGCTCAGAAGAACGCATAACACATAATATATCAAAGCTTCTTGCTTTGTTAACTCAACGTGGATACATGGATACTGTGCATATGTTTGCATGTGTGTGTGTGTGTGTGTGTGTGTGTTTACAAATACATATCACATACTATATATATGTACAACACGTTGTATTGATAATCGTGCTAATTTCCAAGATTTCCCCAAGCTCTCAGAATTGCATGTCTTTAGAAATAAAAATTCAAACTGCCGCCGTTTTATGGGTATAAGTGAATGTTGTTTTGTTTTTGCTTTTTGCTTTTTTTTTTCTTTCCATCGTACATAGAATTGTTTACTGTTTTCCAAACAATAAACTGCACCACACTTGTGTAAATAGAAATTGCAAACAACAGTAACAGCAATAGCAATAACAATAACAACAACATCAACATAACGATATAAAGTGTTGTAGCTTTTACTCTGTATATAAATATATATATATATATATATATATATATATGTATGTAAATATATATGTGTTTGTATATAGATTATGACAACTTGCTAGATGTCAAATTATGAACGCGCGAACGACAAAACAACACAATTCTCCCTTGGGGTATAGCTATAGCAGTTATACTTATGATTGCACCTAAAAGTAGGCAGCAAAAGTCTCTGCTTGCTTGCTAGCTTGCTTTACTTTCTTTTCGACATACACTTATAAAAATAACAACTAACGAATGATTATTAAAAAAAAAAAAGAAGAAAAAAATAAACGCAACAAAATATTTACATATAATCGCGTTGCGAGTTTTTTTCATTCTTCTTCTTTTTATTGGTTTCTGCAATCGCCGGCAAAGCTATAAAAGAAACGATGTCAAAATTGAAAGCAAATGAAAATATGTAGAAAAATTTTACTTACTTAAGGAAAGGATGGAAACCTTCTTTAGTTCCCGCAAATTTAAGGTTCTGATAAATGCATGAATACATTTATAGCGTCGCTTGAGATTTCTACCCACTCACTTGTCTATAACTAGCTTCAGCCAGTTCTTCGAAACGAGGATGAGCTTTCAAAGATTTCAAAGACTTCATATTTTTACTCAAGATGAAGAAATTTCATTAATAATAATAAAAATATTATGATTATGATAATAATAATAATAATAATAAAGAATATTATCTTTGATACCCGTCATCGCCATGCGTGTTTCTTATTTTTTTAACATGACCAATTCCTCATGGCATGATGTCTCCTCCTATTCATATAAATGATGATGCGGCTATACTCAGCAGGAAACGAAGAAAGAGAAGGAGATGACGAGGTGGTCGCAAACCAATGGGCCTGCGCCTACTCCGTAAATATTAAACTCATTATAGCTACTATCAAAGTAAACTCTACCGTATTAAGATTTGAACCTGTAACCGCTTTGGTAATAGCGAATTCTTACCTATTCGACTACTCAAGCGGGGAAAAGGAACTAAAGGAAAAAACGAAATTTGCATGCTGTATAGTATTGGATTGATCTGGCTTATCTTTTCATTTTTCTAGAATAAAAGTGAACATTGATGATAAACATTCAAAACTCATATTTAATATTATTTCCTTGGCTAAAGCTTATTAAAAAACATTATCCTGATCTTTGCTTCGCCAGAAGTGTGCTCATAAACTGGTATTATTATTAGTATTTTAAAGAAAGTTCTTCTTCTTCTTCTGTGAGTGATGAGCTCGCTGAACAAAACGTTTCAATAATCTTATTTTTCTTCTTCTTCTTCTTCTATTCAGCAAATCAGTAACCGTAAAAAGAAGGTTATTGGCCTTCTCATGGAATAATTCGTAAGCGGAACCGTTCAATCACCAAAACAAGTGAATGTTTTGGAAAAAAATGAAGGGAAATGAACTGAAAGGCCTAATAAAAAGCAGACATTGTAGTCCACTTTTGGGCTGAAATATTCCAATTTTATAAACTAATTTTTATGATGGTTGCAGCATTAAGCCGAACCTCATCTTTCGTTATACAGAAAGAGATTCTGAATCGGATTAAGCTTGTCTGCCTGTCTTATATGCTTTTATGTAACGTATAGATCGCAATTTTTAAGATATTCTTTTGAAACTTATGTGGAACTTAATACCGACATACTGTCGGCCGTATACGGACCATAGGGAAACGGGTTCCGATTGAACCACTTCGGCGGCCACTTCCCTTAGGTCTTACTTTGAAAAGTCGTTATACGAATAATTGTATAAAGCAAAGTGATGTAGGGTATTTAGGCAAGGTGATATGATATGAAATCAAATCAGATGAAATGATGAAATGTTATATTGGAAAAAATGAAAACACAGCAACCTTTTTTTAGGCTAATGATATATACCCATATGTACATATATCAAATTTTAAAGAATATTTTTTTAAATTAAAATATTTAATTTTACAGAATTTTTTATAATAATAAATAAAAAAAACATTTGCAATATGCCTTTTTTTATGTGCAGAGAATTCTACTATATACAAATGGAAAAATATGCCCGTCAAGCTGTTACCGAAGGTGTGAAATGTTCGGAAGATTTGCACATTGGCGGCGAAAGTGAACTTTACCGTGTGTTAAATCTGCACTATAATCGCAATAATCATATCGAGGTATTTATTTTGAAAATTTTTGCAATTTTCAATTAAATAAATTATATATGAATGAATAAAAATAATAATGAAAATTTTTTTATTTTTTTTTTAATTCCTTCCCTACTTCACTCATCAAAAAATGAAAATAAATAAACAAAAAAAAAAAAAAACATATATAAAAATAGGTGCCGCAAAATTTCCGTTTTGTGGTGGAGCAAACATTGCGTGAATTTTTCCGCGCTATACAAGGTGGTAAAGATACGGAACAATCATGGAAAAAGTCAATATACAAAATTATTTCACGTCTCGACGATCCCGTACCAGAATATTTTAAGTCACCTAATTTTCTGGAACAATTAGAGTAATTTTTTGTGTTACCGTTAACGGAAAAGAAACGAAAACGAAATTTTGGAAAAAAATGGACAAAATTCAATCAACTTCACCTCGGCAGAAGAATAGTTGAAAAAAAAAAGGAAAGACCTATAACTGAAATGGTTCGTTAAGCTGTTAAGATATACTTAAATCATTTTTTTTTTTTTTTTTTGTTCTTAATGCCAAACCGTGCAAAAGAAAAAGAAGAAATTCAAGAGCATTAAAATATAAAAAATTTTTAAATTTTCTTTGACAATAATTTTTTTTTTTTTTTTTTCTAATGAGCTAACACTTACGAAAAAAGATAAACCTTAAATAAACACGAACCATTCATGAACAGATCAGGAACAAAATGAAACAATTATTAAAGACACCTCAGTGAAATCTTTTAATGGATTTTCTAGTGTAAACTGTATGACCTTCGTAAGCAAACAAATAACATTTAAAAACAATTTAAAAAACAAAATAATAATAACTTTTTTTTTTTATACACACAATATTTATTTTTTACCATAGCTGTTGATATATTTTATAGATACTTTCCATATATATATACAAACAAAATAAAAAAAAAAATCCAAAAGACAAAATGTATTCACTTATATACCTTCACAAACACCCACAGAGTGAATTCCTAACCTCCATATAAATCAGAATTGGAAATATTAAATTTTTAAAATATTTTTTAAATAAGAATTTTTTTAAAAATTAATTAAAAATTTTAAAAGTTCATATTTTTTTTTTCTTTTCGGTATTATCTTAACATCGTATCCTTTTTGTAAATGATTCCAAACGATTTTAAAAAACATTTATGATTTTGTTCTATTTAATTAACTTTTTCAATTAAATTTAAATTTGTTTCGAGAATAATTAAAAAAATACTTAAAACATGTAAGGAAGTCATAAAGCAATTCATAAGTAGCCCCCAACGAAAACAAATCTATTGAAACCGATTTGTTTTTTATATTCAACTTGCGTACGTAGACCTAGCTTACTTCATCGTGGTCCGTCAAAGTATTGCGCACATACCGCGAACTACCATATAGGCTAGGAGATAAGAAGCACGTCCTGGGTGTGTAATTCCGTGTACGGCAAACCCCACTGCAATTACTAGTGACGTCTAAATGCAATTGCAGTGAATGCTCGATCGGCAGAGGCATAACACTTACCGGTTGGGTATGAAGCTTTTAGATTGTGGTCGCTTTCTCTGCCGTTTCCACTTTCCCCATTTCTTTCTCCCTGCCCGTAATGGTATTTATACACATATAAAGGAACATTACTTACAGTTCGAATATAAACGTCGCTGACTGCGATCGCACCACCTCGTTGTTCCTTTTTTCCCTCTACATTTTTCCTCACCATTGTCTTGTTTATGCACCTATAAGGACATAGATCGAGCAAAAACCTTCCAATTTGCAGTCGCACTCCCTCACTCTTCTTTTTCGCTGGCGGTCATCTTGCTTCTACACACATGGGACGTAAGCCGTGAATGATTGGAAAAAAAACCTAGAAATTCATCCTCTTAAGCTACTTTAAAGTCTTCAAAGTTTTCCTTGTGTATCGAAAAAAAAGGATCGCAGGGGTCATGAATTTCTTAATATTCTGTACTTGTTTAGTTACGGCATTTGATTGCAAGATCAAGCAGAGTTTCACTATATGCTATCGTATATAACGTAAATTTATATCTTTTTTATATCAAGCAAGATAGTTTGGTAGACTGAAATCCGCACTTACATACTCCAACTTATTCTTTTCCGATAATCGTTAGCGAAACGAATTAAGTTGGAAAGAGAAATAAGCCCAAGCTTCAGACCACTCTCTTGCTCTCCTAGACAAAGTTTTAATAACATAATCTTGATTTCGACAGGCAGATAAACTGATAACAAGAGGAAATGGACTTTGTTCTGAAACTTACTTTGTAGCCTTGCAAGTATCTAACGAAACCCTTGTGTGAAGGATATAATTAAAGAGAAACCATAAAAGTAATGCTGACATCCACTTAAATGAAATATTTAACATAAATATTTTATTAATAGGAAAACGTTGCCGGTAGTAATTTAAATTTTTTTTTCCTCTCATTCGTAATCCCATTAAGGGGCATTCGTCGATGAATTACGTCTATTTGTCTGTATAGAATAAATTTTTTAGATTAGGGTTAGATTAGTATGTCTTATGAACAGTATCATCCTTATTATGGACACTGCTCCTTATCC